TGGAATCATTCTTCCTAGGTCTATGGAATCATTCTTCCTAGGTCTATCAGTCAGTTGTTTCCTTAATATCACATTTGTTTTATTATGGAAATATGCCTGTCACATTAGCTGACTCATTACCTCAGAACTGGTCCTTGCATCCATCTGAGTAGACAACACTCATGCAGTAAACAGAAGTCTAACCTTGATATGTCTACCCTTCGAAATCTTTCCTCCATATTACCAAGCTTTCAAAGACTATGCAGGACAAGGATTCTAAAGCATTTAGAAAAAAATGTATTTCTTTCACAGCTACAGAAGGCACCAAAGGCACCATCACATCTAGAAATGGTCCATCTCAGGAGAAACTCTCTAGGTAAGCTTAAAGCAGTCTCAGACACTGAAGAACTTATTCCAAAAGCCCATACAAGCCTACATAGGGGCTCTTGCCGAGTATAATAAAGGTTTGGGGTTGATCTGTAAATTAATAACAAAAGCAAACAAGCAAAACTCAAAAATTGGTAAGAACTTGGTCTTCAGTGTGGAGGTCAACTAACACTTTCTCCATATTTCACAAGGAGCAGAACAGAGCTGACATACAAGGCATGTTGATACACTTGCTTGCTGTTCAGTTCCCAGTGGGGCTGTAAGGTCAAGGCTCATTCCAAACCAGCCACAGCAAGTGAATGCTTTAAGCCTTCGCTTGTTAATGGCTTGACAGAGCCCAGGCCCTGTGACAAACATGGACAATGATTGGGGTCACTCTGGAGGACCCCAAAAACTGCAGCCCTCAAAACAGGCATGAATATATGGGTGGATGGGTTAGGAGATCCAGCTTGGCTAAAAATTGAAAGGATTTTTGTTTTCTTAATGAAGTGGCAATTCAGTCAAATCATCTGCTGTGAGAAGGGAGACCATTCCTGTAAGTCAAGACTGTACCAGTGCTGCAGCCACCAAAGGAAGATTAACTAAGGGAGAGAAAACCCAGCATGGCAGGGTAAGCACAGCACCTTCCTGTAATGGCAAGGACATATCCCATGGGGTTATCACACTCATGGCAGGCTGGTCAGCTCCCTGCCTAAGCTAAGAAACACCTCAAAAGGCTGAGGCAAGGAGGGTACCGTGAAAGGAAAGAAGCAGACATGGTATTCCAGTTAGGAAGAGTCAGACATGGATAAGGGGTGTGTTCAGGGCACATTGTGGCAGTAGTAAAATGTGGAGAGGAAACAAATAGCTGAGGCTAGTGGTACTAAGAACAGATGAGACTAAGAAGACAGACACTCCAAAAGAGGCAGCTTTTCCTCTAGGGAAGCACAGCATTAGCCAGACTGGGATGTCCTCACCTCTCCTGATCAGCAGTTACTCATACAAGTCAGTGTGATACATGACAGTTCTCCCTCACTCAGAGAACACACTGCCCAACGTAAGGAAAGCCCACTCTGTGCATTCCAGAAGTAGCACAAGCCTATTGCAATAACATCCATCACTTGAAAAAAATCATTAACACCATGGATTTATTTAAGTATGGCTTCACTATTCATCCATGAGGAAAACAAAAAAAGGATTAACATGGTTGCTATGGCTGTGACATATAAGTGAGTAGATATACCATAATAAATCATTCCTTATTTCAGAGCTGCTTTTTCTTGCTAAGAAGCTTGATCCTCCCAACCTCTCCTGTCTTTCCCCAATTGTACCTCACTCTAGGTCAATACTGGGGTTTATGCAGCCTACCTGAGGGCAACAGGCTCAGCCCTGTGTGTGTTCATCCTCCTGTCCTTCGCCTGCCAGCAAGCTGTGTCGTTCTCTCGGGGTTACTGGCTCAGCATGTGGGCAGATGACCCTGTTCACAACGGGACACAACAGCACACGGAGCTGAGAGTTGGAGTCTTTGGTGCATTAGGAGTAGTTCAAGGTCTGTTTAAGTTGCTCACGTAATTCTTCTCTGTATTCCCATCTCCCTTCCCCATATCCAGGATATTTTCTCGGAATATAAACAAGTGCATACCCACGGGTTTTCAGCCTTCTGGGCTTTTGGCACCAACCCTAAAGGTTTGGCACGGGACCTAAAACTACAGGTTCTGACGCACAGAGAGGATTTCTAAGGGATCTGAACAATATTTTCAGTGTTACTGCCTGAAATTCTACTTCATGGTATGTTAGAGGTGTTCTGTGCCTTTCAGCAGACCATGATGAATAGTGTCTTCCTCTGTATTTCCTGCTAGAACTAAATGACCTGAGCCCCTAAAAAACATGCAGCAATGAAATAACTACAACATCCTTATTTTTCTGTCCTGCCCCCTTGTATCCAACATCATCTGCATACCTTTCTTCCTCTTATCTCTTCTCATTCCTGCAACATAAATTAATCATATCAAAGTGCAACTGGTTGCTCTTCTCCATGTTGAACTGAATCTTAGCTTAGGTTTTTTGCTTGTAAAGAGAGAGAGAAAAAGAGGAACTTGTGGAGTTCTACATTTCTTTATATCTTTCTTCTTAAAAATGGCCACAATTCCTTTGGTCGCTCTCTTTAAAAATAAGAAAAAATATCACTGAGAATTTTAAAGTAATTCCAGTCAAGCTCACTTTGTGAGGAATAAATAATTTGTGCTGCACATTTAAGTTGCTGAATCCATCAAGCTTGCTTAGAAGGTCTTTGGCTGCCCTACAACTACCCTACAGAAAGGGCAGCTTAAGCCAAGCCTCAGAGCTGCAGGTAATTCCTACTAAAGAGAAAATCAGCTCCTTTCACTGGTGCAGCGTTCACAGTGCTAAGTGGAGGTCATGATCTCGCAAAGGAGAGCTCCAAGGTGGATTGTTCAGACCTTGTAATAATAATTTCTTTTCTCTTACAGCCCTCAGCAGGTTTACCTCCACAGCAGCAGTGCTGCTGGGTGGCGTGTTAGCCTCTCACCAGCTTTTTCTGCAGCTGCTGAGCAATGTCACGAGATCCCCAATGGTCTTCTTTGAGCAAACACCCATTGGAAACTTGCTGAACCGCTTCTCCAGAGAAATGGATGCTATTGATTCTGTCATCCCTGACAAGCTGAAGTCCTTCCTGGGATTCTTGTTCAACTTACTGGAGATCTACCTTGTGATTATAGTGGCTACACCATGGGCAGCGATGGCCATAGTGCCCTTGACTGTTGTTTATGCTGCATTCCAGGTAGGAGCTCACAGAGGTACAGACAGGAGAGGCTGGAGCAGTATGCCCATGCCCCTGCAGAAATCCTCCCTCCATTTCTTAGGAGCAGAGACATGCAGAAACTAGTTTCATCATTTTAAATTGCATCTGAACAAGAGTAATGTCAGCGGCTCTTCCCACATCACCTCTGCCTTCCAAAGCTTTCCAGAGCCCTCACAAAGAGGCTTGTGCTTTTCTGATGTCAAATCCTACTTAGAGCCATATTCCTTGTCTCCATTAGTGTAAATTCAATCATATCAAGACCAAAAAACATTTTTCCTTTTCTCCAGAATTGCTACACTGCTTTTTAATATATCCATGTATGCCATGCAGCTCTCCCATTGGGCTCTGAAACCCCAAATGCTTTGCCAGCTAAGACTGAACATGAGGAAAGGGCAAGTAAGGGTGCAATTCCTCTGTTCTCCATCAAGCAAAGGGCTCATCTACAGGAGAAACTGAGTGTGAGATTAGAGGTTATTGAGTTCAGAGCACCCTGGCTCCTTTCCCCCAACCATCAGGTTATTCCTAATGAAGACAGGACATAACACAGGTAGAAATGCTACCTCACCTTTTAAGGGCATCTCCTACCTGCACATTAGGTTTTATAACACTAGGATAGAACGTACTATTGCACTTGCTGAGGCCTTCCCAAATTTTCTGTGAAGCACCTCCATGGAGACATAAACCTTCTAATGACTTCCCTTTCCATTTTCCCTTGTGCCAGCACTTCTACGTCATCACCTCCTGCCAGCTGAGGCGTATGGAGGCCGCCAGCAGGTCACCCATCTACTCCCACATTTCAGAAACTTTCCAAGGGAGCAGTGTGATCCGTGCTTACAAGGACCAGGAGAGGTTTATTTTGAAGAGCAACTTTCTAGTGGATGAGAATCAGCGAATATGCTTCCCTGGAGCTGTTGCTGACAGGTACAAATCTGTGAAGGAGCAGTGTTTCCTTGCATGGAAAGCGGAGTGGAGACAGTGCTCTTGGGGCTCGGGTGGAGGTTCACAGATGAGACAGTGGTGCAGTGTTTTAGGGGTAGAGTGGCCTCTGTCATCTCCTGCACTGCACCCTCACACAACCAACATGCTCCCAGCTCTGTTGTGTGGCCAGGCACAGACACACACATGCCAATGCTGCCAAAGGTATCACCTGGTGCCCAAAACGCAGGAAGCTGTAGCACGTGCCTGGTGAGGCACCCATGTGCACAAGGCCTATGGTACATCAGACCACAGAGCTATGAGCTACAGTCATGAAATGAGTGAGGAGTACCAGAAAGAGTGAGATATGTTAGACCAACTCATCCAAGAAACCATGTGCTGGCTGCTCTCATCCAACAGGCCTTGGGGAAAATCCTAGGAGAGACCATAAGCCAACCAGTTCAGACAGACTGTAGCCTTTCAGGAGCTCCAAGGTGGCTGGATAAGAGAACCAGGGTGTGACAAGAACTTTGTTGAGCAACCTGTACTCCCAGCAGTTCCACAAGTGTTCTATAAAGTAATCACACAATGCATTGAGAGAAAGGAAAAGGACCAGCAACAGCCCTCTACTCTCCTCCTCTTGCAGGTGGCTTGCTACAAACCTGGAGTTTCTAGGCAATGGCATTGTATTGTTTGCAGCACTATTTGCAGCAATGGGCAGAACACATCTTAGTCCAGGAACCGCTGGCTTCTCCATTTCATATGCTCTTCAGGTAACCCAGTGCTGAAATGCTTGACTTTTATCAGAAGAAAATGCATTTTGATTTCTAAGAAATCATGAACTATTTCTGTGCCTTTCTAGATGCCTTTTCCTACCAAATCCTGCTGTCATTGTTGAAACCCACATTATCTGGAGCACATGGCCCCTTAGGGAACAAACCTCATAAACACATGCACAAGGCATCTTCTTCCTCCTGCACCTGAACTCATATTTAAGTCACAGCAAGACATGAGCAGCTGAAGCAAGGTCTTCAGCATTTGTCTTACCTGCTTGTAGAGTAGTTACACAATAGCCTAAGAAACAGCTACACTATCTTTTAGCATCCAAGTCAGCAGCATTTTATTCTCTATAGACTTGCTTGAAGGGGCTATGAGAGAAGCTGGCTATGCTCTTTAACACAGCTTTACAAACTTTCACAAGGACCCATGGTTATTTTTTAAGCATTTTAAGGTTTTCTGATTTAATTTCTGATGTAATTAGATGATGAGTAGGTCTTTATAAATAAACACTAAAATAAATATAAATAAACTGGGTAACTCACAAGCACAGGTCAAGACTTATTTTATCTGCCCTAATGCTTTTTTTTTCATTTTGGTAGATAACTGGTGTTCTGAACTGGATGGTGCGCTCCTGGACAGAAATAGAGAACAACATTGTTTCTGTGGAGAGAGTGAGAGAATACTTGGGCACTCCCAAGGAGGTAGCTGGTCCACTATTGCCCTTACTAGCAGGGGTAGAACATCTCTGCAACTAAACGAGTAATTTTTCTGTTCCACATGAAAAAAACTCTAATTTTCCCCTTCTGAAAGCCAGTCATTTTTCCTTTAAAAAACTGCAGGATTTGGTTTTTATCCAACTCTAAGTTGTTTTATAACCTCTGATCATCATTATTTCCTTAAGACAGTTAAGCATTGGATTGCCATTAAAATAGCTTCACTTGGTAACACTCATGGAATGAGACATATTTCTGCCCATATTTGGAGTATTTATTGTGCGACTTCAGATGCAATCTCAGATATCTGATGGCTGCTAGATAGCCTTTTAGCCACTCAAAGTCTCCAGTGCAATAATTTTTGTTCTGTAATCATTAAAATTCCATCTCCGTATGCTGCCCTGAGAGACACTTTCACAGTCCTGTTTACAGAGGCATATAAATCTTTTTTTACTGAACCACTCATAAAGTCACAACTCTGACATGCAAACAAATGTTCATCCCCATTTTCAGTTGAGCCTCAGCATCTTCGCATAAAGTAAAAAGTCAACATCTGCAGTATGAAAGTTAGAGGCCTTTTTGCCTTTTGGAAGCAGCAAACAGACTGGGGGGACTTGGCACAGAGGTCTTCATAAACTTCTCATTCCAGTATGGCCACTTGATTGGTAATTTAAGTCAGCTTTATAGACTGCTGTTTGTTTTCATCTGTTTAGGCACCCTGGACTCTGAATGGCAAACCTGAAGGTCAAGTTTGGCTCACTGAAGGAAGGATTGAATTTAGAAACTATAGTCTGCGATACAGGCCAGATCTGGAGTTAGCACTGAAGCACGTCAGTCTAACCATCCATGGGCAAGAGAAGGTAAGAAAAGCCACTTTTATGACAAGTGTGAGCAGAGCTGGGCAGTGATCAGAGCTGGGTGGGTACTGCTCCTGCCCCACACCGAGCTACAGGAATTTGGAAGCTGAAAGCTGCAGTTAAGCCTGAGCCCATCTTTCACACTGCACACTACACAAAGGAGTGTTTCCAGGCTTGCTGCATACACCAGACATTCTTCTGAGTAAAATTTCATTTCATACCAGGTTAGCAGAGTTACAGCAAAGCAATTTCACTTTTAATTCTAGTGCCACATGAAGGCCCTGTTCTAACTGCTGCCTTGTAATTATGATTCCCATCAGAGGCTTTCATGATTCCTTTTCATACAAAACAATTCCAAATTATAAATTATTCCCTCTAAGAATGTATTGCTGGACTATGTGAACCTTGAACAGCCCTAAAAATCTGATACATGCAAAGCTGTCTCTCTTCAAAAGGCCAAGAGAAACTACATGACAGGTTTGTCCAGCTGTGGGAAAACAATCAACATCAAAACCAAAGGCTTTCCACTGCACTTTACAGATTGGCATAACTGGAAGAACAGGAGCTGGGAAATCTACTCTTGCTGTGGGATTGCTGCGATTGGTGGAGGCTGCAGAAGGAGTGATTCTAATTGATGGACGGGATATTGCTCAACTAGGTCTCCATGACCTAAGAACCAAGATAACTGTCATTCCCCAGGTATGAAATTAATTTCCAAAATCCTTGAGCAGTAAGTCTTGAACATTTAGGAAGGGTTTACAAAGGTTCTGTGAGAGGAGGGGCATTCTGAAATTTCAGAGTTGGAAATAACCTGTGCCATGCTTGTTTCCCATTCAATATAATATTAGTCACAGATTCCCCAGCAGGGAAGACCAGAGAGCTTGTTTTTATCATTCATTTCAGGAGTTGTTTGTACTGTCTCTGTGCTCAGGATCCAGTTTTGTTTTCTGGCTCTCTAAGAATGAATCTCGACCCACTAAACCAATACACTGATGCAGACATCTGGACAGCTTTGGAACTGACTCAGCTCAAGAACTTTGTTGCAGATTTGCCAGAGCAGTTGGAATATAAATGCACTGACCAAGGGGAAAACCTAAGGTACCTTATCTGCAGAAAGACAGTGGCAGAGCAGTGCTAGCCCCTGGGCTAGGAGAACAGCTAGTTGGATAAGGAGGCTAATTTCTTTTTTGATTTTTTTTTAATGCTGTCCAGGCAATTTGCATTATTGTCCTGTTTAGCAGCATGAAATCAAATCATAAGACACCAAGTGGAAGACCTTTGAGACTTGGTCACTGTGGTGGTTTGCATTTGTGCAGTACTTAAAACCCTGGAATCCTGTTCCAAGTGCAGATCTCCTGGGTGCCATAGTAATATCCTCCCTTTGTTTCCTTAGGCTGTTTCACGCTGTTACCTGCCTGCAGTGGCACCAGCCTCAATCACCCTTCCAGAGAAAGGGAACAATCACCTTTTCATTACTAATTTCAAATTAATCACGTATTCTGACCCCAGGGAAAAGTGACTACAGCTCTCAGTTTACCATCCCTCTTCTTACTTACAGCACTGGTCAGAAACAGCTGGTTTGTCTGGCCAGAGCACTCCTGCGGAAAACCAAAATCCTCATTCTAGATGAGGCCACAGCAGCAGTAGATTTAGAAACTGATCTTCAGATTCAGTCCACCCTGAGGACTCAGTTCAAAGACAGCACAGTGTTAACAATAGCTCACCGGATAAACACCGTCCTGGACTGTGACAGGTAAGATTTTCAGCCACATTCCTGAGGAGGAGGGAAGACACAGGCAGCCTGTGTAACTAAACACACCACACAGTGTTAGTGAACAGCAATTTCATTTCTGTCCTTTTCTTGCTTAACTCTCCAAGCTTTGCTTTAGAGATTGTAGGATCTCTCTTGAACCAGCTAAGCACCAATAGATTAATCAGAGATTATTGACTCCCACATGATACATTTCATGCTGTCATACCCCTTTTCCCCCCACTGACAGCGAAACCATGACTGCAGCTCTTTGCGTCATCCAGAAATTGTGAAACTAAAATACCCATTCACAAATCTTATTCCAGTCTCAGTTGCCAAAAAACCCTCCTCCCAAACTCAGTACTTGAATAGTCACTCATCAGAAACCTCTTTCTATCCCACTACTGTTTCCCAGCTGAAAAGCTGTTGGAAAGCTTGGTTGAATAACCAGCAAGTACTGATATTTATTTTAAAACTACATAGAAACAACTAAATTTATCACAGCTGCTGGTATATCCCCAAACTTACACTACTCTTCTAATGTTCACAGGATTTTAGTCTTGGAAAATGGTCGGATAGCTGAATTTGATACTCCAGAACACTTAATAGCTCAGAAGGGACTATTCTACAGACTGATGGAAGAATCAGGCCTTGCATGACTCACTTATGGAGTATCCCACACGACCACCGCTATCAGGAATAATTCATCTCATAATTGAGTTGTTATCTTGGTTTCTGTCTAAAATGCCTGACACTCATCCAAAGCTTGTTTAAGCCATAACCACAGTGAGTAGATGAAAAGGGATGACTTGAGATACACATTATTTCCATAAGAAACTTAGAAATTCCATTTTCATTGTTTCCACATACCAAAACCTCACTTAACTGTTGAAAATGAGCCAGTCAGGACTTAAATGTTTTTCTGGTATAAAAGCAAACAAGCCAAAAGAAAAAAGGCCACAGCATTTCCAGTTTATTCTATAAATGGAGCCCAAATATCTGCCATACTTAAAGATTACACAGATTACTTTTAAAAGCCAACAAGATTTTATGGACAGCGAGGGAGAATTTAACTGGTAGCAAGCAAACCTAACTGTCTGCAGTTTATCCAAGGCTCCAGGCAGAACAAATGTGGCATTTTGTCGATGTCTTTAGGACTGCTTACCTGGGCGCTGTTTTTACACAGATGTGGGCTCCAAGGCAGCAGCTGGAGCTTGTCATCCAAGGGAGGAGGGAGGGGGGAGAAGAAGTGGGATGCCTGTTGTGGCAGCTGAGGATCAGATCCATTCCATCTCCCTGTCAGCTGTGGAGGTGCCCTGAGCCATCATGCTGTGCAGAGGGTGACACTGCCTGCAGGAACAAAGCCAGTTTCCACATGGGTTCAAGGATGCAGGACAGGAACTTGGCTGGGAGTGGGGAACAGAGCATTGCTCCTTCTGCTGAAGGTTTGGAGCGGCCCTGCCAAATGCTGGAGGTCACAGCAGAGCATGACCAAGCGTTGACACCAACATTTCCAAATTGAATTTGGCCACCAGGAATTTACATGAGAAAAGTAGCAATAATTCACCTGTTGACCTGATGGTTCATTCCTGGTTTTCTTCTGGAGTGCAGGTTTTACCTCCTGCATGTGCCGCCCCGGGGCTGCAGAGCCTCTGGCACGGTCATCTTTCAGGTGCTACTTCAACAAACCAAATGGCAGCTGACAGGAAAACCTTCCTGGGCTTCCCACAGTGTCGAGGGGCTGCAGTCAGAGCTGCCCCCAAGTCTCTCCTCAGGAATCACAACACAACAATGTGACAGACATATATACACTGTGAGATACTGCTGTTTACTGTGACTTTTGTTACAGCACTTAATTTTCTAGAGAGCTGAAATAAAAATATAATCAAGTATTGAAACGGATCTCTTCAGTAAGCTAAAGTAAATATAGCACAAAAAGGGGTAATGGGGGAAACGATGGGAGAGTTCAGACTGCGAGAGTCGACCCAAAAAAACCCACCAGTTTCTTCTCCAACAGCTCTTCGGTGGCTTATGCACCCACATTAAGAGCAGTTAAGGGTTTCTGCTGAACAAGTGCCTAAGATAAGAAGTCCAGTGCCTCCTGCCATACTGGTGCTCAGGTACCAGGAAAGAGGAAATTTTTTGCTCTCTACTTTCTCCAAACTTTACTCAAGGGAAGAGACAAAACAATTCAAAAACCAGATACAAGTTAAGAGCTAAATGAAATTGTGTCATCTTCATCAAAAAGGAAACAAAACAAAGAAGAAAACCATGGAGCTAGGCTTCCACATGCTCTGTAGGAGGTGAGAACCTACCCACCTACAGAAGCACAGAACTACCAGCAATGAAGGTCCTCCTGGTGGGCAGATAATTCTCTCTTCACCAGGAGGGCAACTGGAGGACAGGAATCAGGATCATGAATCAGTGCAGCAACAGCACAAAGCACTGACAGGTACTTAGGGCACGTAGAAAAGAGTCTCTACTCGAGAGCTAGGGCAGAACAGTTTGTGCCAGCAAGTGTATAAATATATAAAACTGGGAGAACAATGATGTGTATTAACCACCATAGCACTGAAAGAGAACAAGACTGAAGCACACACGAGTAGCAGTCTGCTGACCCCTTGCTGCACTGTTTAGAAGGTTATACTGCAAAATACAGTATTTTAGACATACAGTTCCCCAAATGATCACAAAGAGCCCATGAATAGGACAGAGAACATTCAGTGACACTTCTCAGAGTACCCAGTTAAAGATCACAAATGCAGTTAAAGTCATTTCTACACAGACAACTCCACTGCAAACATGTTACATAATTCTGCAAGCTCTGTATTTCAAACAACCATGCCCCTCAGTGCAGTTCCATGGTTTTTAAAGGACTCACATGGATATGTTAAGGCTTCTAATCGGTGTGCAACAAAAAGCATTATTTCCTCCAATCTGAAATCAGTTTCCACCAAAGTAAACTCTAGCAACACAACTTCCTTTGAATTCCATCCCAAACCAGCAGAGCTCTTGTAGATTCCTCCTCTCAGGAACAAGGTACAATAATCCCACATGGCTGTTCAAAGGCATTTGAAATCCTGTCTGAATTTCTTCACTGGACATTCTCTGCAGCTCTGCCATGAGGAAGGAGTTGGTGATAACTGGTTTGCACAGGCAAGGAGAGAGCACAGGGAGCTCTGCTGTCTGGTCGTCCAGTGCCAGTGGCCCTCCAACATTTCCTTCATAGGGTTCTCCTACGATGGGGTGGAAGGGGAGGATCACAAAGTGTTCCTGGATGACTGTCCCCAAGCAGGAAAGGTGTCTCAGTGGTATTCATGGTTCCTCCTCAGTGTCTCCTCTGCAAGGAGAGTACAACACCACCAGCTACACACCTCACCCAACAGACCCATCTCTCTGAACTCTGTTCCTTACAAGACACTTGCTCCAATCATTCCACCCTTCTGTCCCTCACAGCCCTGCAGAAGAGCTCAGTGACTTGAAAAACTAAACCCCACTGCTCCTCCTTAAACTCCCAAATCACCCCATGCTTTATTCCATTTCCACACGGAAAATTAACACCAAGCTGCCCAGGACATATGACATTCACAGGCCATGGACACCAAGGGTGTGACAAAGGTTCAAAGCACCACTGACTCCTGCTCTGCTGATCCATCACTATTACCTGGTCTGCTCAGCAAACCATAAAATGATCCAGTCCACCACAGCACACAGGTATCTGCACTCATGGCTTCTTATCCACCATCCTAACAACCCCCAGACATCAGGTCAAAGCAGTCTGATTAGTCTAAGCAGGACCAAGAATTTCTATTTTCAAGGCAAAAACCTGAACTAACAAAGCTAACCCTTTATCAAATACAAACCAAAGAAATGACAAATCATGTTTTCTTTCAAACAATGTTTTTACTGCAAGTTCTTTGCAAATATTTGTATAGTCATTACAAAAAAATACCAAAGAAAATTTCAGTCTATTCAATTTCAGAGAGTCATAATTTACAAAAAAATAAATAGCTTTACTCTAAGGACAACAATTGTCTAGTATTAAGGTCAGCAATATCAATCACAGAAGTCCACATTCTCAGTGCTGAGTATTTGTGTCCATCTGACTTAGTTTGCCTTCTTCCAGCATTTTCCTTTAAAATAAGACTAATCAGAACATTAGAAAAGTAACTTTTCTCTTACCACAGAAAAATGAAAATACAACATGGATCTTGAAAACCAGACTCCATTGCTAATTGAATTGTTAGATCCCTCTGACACACAACTTTAAAAACAGTAATTTTTTTAAACAACTGTAACAGAACATTTTCCCACAAAATTTAAGAGTCAACAGCAGCAGCATGAAGGGCATGTTTCTTTGATATAAGGCTAATGGTCCTTGATGTGGCAGAATTAAAGCACAGAACTGCCAAAGCCAAGGGTTTTACAATCAACGTCACACCGAGCCTGCAACCTCTGCCCAGACAAATCCTCACCTCTCAGCCTTGTCCCCACAGGTGTCACCAGGATTGGGCACCCGAGTCAGAATTCCTGAGTGAACTGAGTGTAAGATACTGCACACTGCAACACACCAGCTGCTGCACCAATTTGGTTTTGGAGTGATTGTCATTCCAGACATGCTTAAATACTGCTATGAAGTTGACTGTGCTTTTTGACATCAGCACTACCGACATTATAGAGAACTTGCTGCTATACGCTGTAAACACATGAAACCTTTAGGACAATGCATAAAGCATTAACCATGTACAGTAAATGCCATAATGAGAACGTCTGGCACACATGTTATTTCACAAGAAAAAAAAAATCTTTGGACTATTGTACTATATGCCACAAAATGTTCCAGGTGCATCCCACAATAGATGGCTCATCAAATGAGGAATCCGCAAACAAGCAAATAATTAGCATTTGCAAAAATGTTTTAAACAAAAAAAGGGAGGGAACTTCAGAACATAAGAGCAGATGAGAAGTAAAAGCTTTTCTGAACTTCTCTGATGAATCACTCCACCTTATATTTTAGCATATAATGACAGGTTTCAGGCAAAAATTAGAAGTCTCTGCAGTGTTTTGCACAGTGGATGTGCTTCTCCTAAAGTTGGCTAAAATCAATACTAAGGAGAAATAAAAAAAGAAAAAATTGCATTTTTATGTTACTTCCATTGCCATGCTCTGGCCGACTTCACTATGTCTCAAGCTGAGCTGTATCGTTCACTCCAGCTCAGGGGAAGTTACAGTTCACCAAATGTATCACCTCCCTCTTCCCCACAGGAACTGAACAAGTGCTACACCAAGCCTGAATCTTTGGCCATGCTGTAGAAAATGCCTCTTTCCTGAAGGAGCTGTTCTGGGCTTCCACACTCAACCACTTCTCCTCTCTCCAGGACTAAAACTCTGTAAAACAAGCAAGGGCAGGGGGGGAAAGAAGAAAAAATGGTCAGAAGAAGATCCACGAAGCCAATGAACAGACACAGAAACTGTGTAGGGTATCCTACAGATAGACAGAAACTGACTGTTGGTGTCCATTATATGCAAGGGAAGACAGTCCTGACTGTATGAACAGACTGAGGTTCTCACTGTCCTTCCTGACCTCACTGCAGATGGTCTGTCTGCTCAGCCTTCAACCACACCTTAGCAAGGCAGCTGAGCATGAGGGAGACTGCTTGAACTATAACCAAAAGTGATGGATAGTGAAATGTCAAATAAATTTCAGAGGGCAAGATCTGCCCCTTTGACTCCTTATGGTGTCTGTGCCTAAATTAGGGCAAGACCCAGGAACAGACTCTTGCCCGTGCCTCCCTCCCCTTCCCAGTTTTTCTAGGCAGGAACAGCACAACAGCAGTGCCACGGAGGGATGAGAAGAGCTCCACAAGCCAAGCACAGGCACCATAAGCCAAAACACACACACCCCACCCATTAAAACAGGGATTGCAGCATCATTGTGGAGAGGTGGCTAAAAATGAACACAATGATTCCCATTTAAATAGAGCACAATGCAGGTCACACCTTCGTCAAGATAAAACCGGTGTAACTTTACCTCGTGTAGTCCATGATCGTGTTCAGACGATGTGCTATAGTTAATACAGTACATTCTTCAAATTGAGACTTTATCGTTGACTGTATAAGCTTATCTGTTTCAAGATCAACAGCAGCTGTGGCTTCATCCAGAACCAGGATTTTGGACTTCCTGAGCAGAGCTCGTGCCAGGCACACCAGCTGGCGCTGTCCCACACTACGCAGATGGGATGGGAGGGTGGGGAAAAAAAGTCAGAACAAGTTTGCAGTATTCATTTTGAAACCCAGCAATTCCTTGTTCTAAAGATAAGGTTGGTCTTACTACTTCCCTGCAGAATATATAACAGCATCTGAAACTGCATCCCCCCTCAAATCAAGTCCTGGCAATGTAGTAAGGGAATGCATTACAAGTGGTTTCAGCATAACTGCATCAGGCTGATTCAGTGAGTCAGTGCACTGTTGAGGACTGGACTTTAAATGGTTTCTACAGATTGAACATATATATCCCTCTTATGGTGCAAAAAGCAAGCAAACAACTTTCTTAGAAAAACTGCTGCTACTAAAATGCCTGGTCATGCATTAAGAATTGTCCAACTCCCTCCCCCAATTCTCCTGCGGGGCTGGGGGGAGCCTCACGCTGCATAGCTCTTGCTGGGTCTGACTATATCCTGTCCCAGGTGAGCTGAAAGGTTTCTGGAAATGGAAAGTCCAGTTGCAGATGGGAGGGTACACCCCACTCTCCCCCTCAGTTCTCATTGGGTCTTCAGGCAATTTTCACAGTCACAGTTCTTTGACATACCTGAGGTTCTCACCACCCTCAGCACACTCATGATTCAGTTTATCAGGAAGGGATGACACAAAATTTTTCAGGTGAGCCAATTCCAAAGAT